TTTTTAGGCCCATTTTTGACGTTGCGAATCGCGGGTAAACTTTGAGGTCATGAACAGAATCTGTAAATGACCTTTGTCGCGTCAAGACGCGTCAAGTAGAATGCACTCCATGGTGGCGCTCGACACAAATGTCTTGTCGTGACTGCTTGAATGGAGAGAATCCACAAATACCGAGGCTTTCTGGTCTGTCATCGTTGTGGCTAACAAGCCGTCATTGTTTTATATGGAGAGTTCTGTCAAGAAATTCTGGGCGTGGTTTGGATGTACAGTTTGTACAGTCTGTCGATGATGGTACCCTATCGCACCGAGAGAAATGAACGTGGAAAGTAATTGGTAATTTGAGCGCTCATTTCTCTGAGTCTCAGACTCGTCTATGTTGTGCTCTGCACAAGTCCACGCATATATGCCTATCTATCTATGCAGCCTTGCAAGCGTTCAGACGCATACAAAGCTAATATGTCTATCGACGAATTTGATCCAGCTTCTCTGTCAGTCTCGATGTTGAGCCATGGCGATCTAAAGGGACGAACTGGCCTGGAAAACACGCACTCGCCTCAAACACATCTTTTCCTACTGCTGCTGCGATGATCAGAGATATTCACTCACTTCATTCACGGCATCAAATTTAGTGCGTTCTATTCTTATTTGCACCCTCGTATTGCACCCTCATAATGCCCAAATGCAAGTATAATGTGCCATAATTAAGGGCCTCGTCTTTGGAGCATCACCGGCTTGGCTGTTGTTGCAGTATGTCATCGGCACAGATTGCTAGTAGCCGGCGCAGTTCTGTGCAGGGTATAAAAGGTAGCAACCAAACGTTTGGCAACCCTCGAACCCTTCCCTCTGATCTGTCTTGTCACTGTCGATTGACAGACTCTTTGCGTTCGTCAAGCATACTTCGGGCTCATCGTCAGATTCTTGTGTCTCTGGTCTCTAGAAACTATTAGAAGCATGGTCTTTTCCGCCAAAATCAACGCCCTGTATCCTTCCCGAGCTGCGGACTTTGATTTGGTACTGGATGTAGCTAGCCTGGTCATCTTTGAGTGACTCGGTTATCAAGAAAAAAGACGTCCATTTTTCGTACCTGCGCAAGGGTCGAAGAGCTCGTGTCTGTCAACTGCAAGTCGCCACCCCGCCCAATGCCAGTCAATGTCGCTCATAATAGTTGCAATTGACTACCCTCCCGCGGGCGTCAAGTTCTTCTTCCTCTATTGAACCTGCAAAGTGACCGTCTGGTCGAGGTAACCTTCATTTCGGTACTTCTGATGAACGGTACGGGGCGTAGAAAAAGCTGTACGAATAGGTCAGTATAAACGAGTAACAACCATATGCGTTTCGCGCTCAAAATTCTGGTATGATAGATTCTTGAATGTACTTTTATCAGTTGTAATGTGATTCCCTGTCTCTTACTACGCGTTGAATACCTGGTTACATTCCCCATTGCGGCTTCAAATGGCCTGTAGCCCGCGATAGCCGTAGTACAAACCTTCCCACGGCACTATTGACAGTCACAGTGCCCCTGTATGTCGAGCCAGTCAAAACTTGTTCTCCACCCCCATCTCACCGCTCGCTCGCTATCAACCCCTCCGCTCGTTTCAAGTCCTTTTAGCTCCACCAGTCCCTTAAAGGTGATAGAAATAGCTATTAGATAGTTGCTTACACCTCAAACTGACCGACAGTTTTTTTTCAGCTCCGTTCCTACTTAACACAATGGTTTCTTCGTTCTCTCTCGCCGTTCTCCTTGCTTCTACCCTCTTGGCTCGCGCCGACGTCTCTCCGAATACGCCTAGTACAGGACAAGCTGGTTCGCAATGTACGATTACCTGGTCAGGAGACAAAAACTCGACGTCCAACTGGTCGAACATGGCCATTGAGTTTATGACTGGGGACAACTTTCAGATGGTTTTCTTAACGAGTGTGTTGTTTTCTGCTATCTTTCTTGCAGTTCCTTACTAAACTGACTCCTGCAGCTGTCGCTACCGGTCTCGATGGTACCAAGGATGGCTCATACTCCTGGACATGCCCCCAAGTCAACCCTTATTCTCCCATCTACTTTTACCAGTTCGTCTCTCCCGATGAAGCGTCCAACCCACAATGGACCACTCGTTTCGCCATTTCCTCTCCCACGGGCGCCACCACTAACGCCCCCAACGCTACCCAACCCAACGGTGACAAGATCCCTTGGGGTGCCGGTGCTCTCGTCGACGCAGCCAGCGCCAGCGCTGCACCTTCCTTTGCTGCCAATGCTACCACTGGCGGTACCGATGTCCCCACTTCTACAGCATCCGTATCCGTAACCACGTCCCAAACCGGTGCCTCTGCTTCCGGCACGTCCTTAGTGCTCGGTAACACCTCTGGCGCCGCGGGTGCACATGCTAGTGCTACCGATGGGGACTCTGCTTCTTCTACTGGCTCCAATGCTGCTTCGACTTCGGCCGCGTCGAATGGTAACTCAAACTCTGGACTTGGACTTGCTGTGGATGCGAGGGTATGGAAGACGGCGTTTGGCGTTGTAGGCTCTGCGATGGCGTTCGCTCTGTTCTTGTGATTTTCGAACCATCAACACACCCGAATGGGAGGGGGGAGACAACGACACCGTGGTATACATCTCATTGCCACTGAGAAAGAAAATACCTGGTGTCGCTTGTAGAAGTTTTTTTTTTTTTGAATTTTCAACGGCGACCTATTGACAACGAAGCTTCCGGCATGTGTTTTGACGTGGGTTTATGCGCCTATCCACCTACAGACTATTACTATCCTTAGGAGCTCATAACTATTTATATATTTGGTTTTGGTTTTCTGTGTCATGTTGAGGGTTTTATTGCTTCAGGGGGTTTTGTGTGCTGCATTATTATACCAACTAATCCATTCTAACCGCGTACAGTATGTACGGTACTTACGATGTTGTCACGATGCATACCGCATGTCATTGTCGAAACGTCTATTGACGGAGGAACCTTCACTCAAACTGCACATAGTGTCAGAATATTTACTATAGATATAGCATTAGCAAGCAATCGTACAACCCAAGTGTTTCCCAATAATGATAGTACAGTAGAGCCGAACGTTATTTATTAATGTTAACGCGTTACAGCTCGTCTTTAAGCCCTGTAGGAATTGCGGGTTCCTCAACAGACACGCTCGTCGCCTCACCCTCCTTGGCCGCTTCTGATGGTTCGGGTGTAGCAGTGGGCTCAGGTTCCGGTTCCGCAATAGATTGGGCTGTCTCCTCCTTCTTGGCTGCTTCTGTTTCTGAAGGTTCAGGCGTAGCAGTAGGCGCAGGCTCTTCTGCAGGACTGGCGACAAATGCAGCCTGTTCCTCTTTAACATTCCCATCTTCTACCGTCGATTCCGCTTCCGCTTCCGTTTGTTTCTTCTTCTTCGGCACATCACCCATCATCCCAGGATACGCCTGCCCGGCCCCCGCATGCGGATTATACCCCTTCTTCAACGCGTCCTCAAAGTCGACAAGATCCGCGAACCCTCCATGCGCCAAAGCGATCCTCTGCGCTTCCTGTTGACGCTGAATCTCGAGTTCGGCTTCGTCGAGGACGAATTCCTCCGCTGCTGCTTCTTGATTGACGAGTTTGAGGTCTGCGGTTCCGTCGATGACGGAGTCGAAGAATTTGGAGAGGGAGTCGAGTTTTGTTATGCCTGGAAGGAATGGATAAGAAGGCTTGAAAAGGAATAGGTGATAGGGGAAAGAAAGTACGTACCTTCGTATCGGACGGGTGTTGTTGATCCAGGTGCGTATATGATGACTTTTGATGATTTAGGTTCACCCGCTTCGTACCCAAGAGCGACGGAACTCTTTCCCTTGCGATCGCGATGGGATGCGAGTTCGATTTTGCCGGCGTATTTGTTGCCCAAGACTGACCATAGTAAGGGGACCTTCTTTTCCTTTGTGAGAAGGAGTGCCCGGGGGAGTCCTCCTTCGGCGCTCTATAAAAGGAGATGAGATGAGTTGAGTTGATCGGTATGTTCGAAACGTACGTCTTCGACCCAAGATTGGATAGCGTCCACTTGACCTATTTTCTTGACGTGGTTTGGAACGCGCCTTGAAGCCCAGTAGAAGAATCCGCTGGCTGTGCGTTCGGATTCATACTTCATTGATCCGAGGTATCTTCCCCGAGGATAGAGCTAGATTTGGACTGAGGTGTTAGACGAGAATGAGCTGGAAGGGAGAGGTGTTACTCACTTTGATTGTGGGGAATCCTTCGACGCCCTAATGGGAATTGCGCGTCTTAATGGGTGAACCCTAGGATTTGGATTATACGACATACCTCCTCATGGCATAGACGCTTGTTGGCATCGGCGTCGCAGTCGATTGCATAGGTGGGAATGAGAGGGTAGAGGCCTAGGGCGGCTTTGCTGTATTCCGGAGCCATTCGTTGACAGTGCTATATGTCGAAGGAGATATGTAAACAGGTAAACTTGGATTGGGTTTGGGGGCTTACACCACACCATGGTGCAACGAATGCGACCATACTGGTTTCCTATATTTCCATATACCATATCATCAATAAGGTATGTTCGATGATAATGATGATGGTAATGATGAGGAACTAACATTACGCTTCATTGCCTTTTTGAATCCTTTTGTATCTAGCATCTTGACTACAGTGTCTTTGGGGAAGATGGCTGCAGAGGCTAATGTCGAGGACATTGCCAGTGTCAGCGCGACGAGCTGAGGATTCCACATCGCTGAGAGAGAGAGGGAGGGAAAAGATGATGGGACTGAGAAACGTCGGGCACCTTATTAACTCCCTCAGCCCAAGTTCCACGTCAAGGTGGGAAAATTGACACGTGCACGTATTGATGGCTCAGCTCCAGGGTTTCGGGTAACACGTATAGCCAGACATAGCCAGACGGTACGCGTCTTGGACCGGTTGCTTCGCCGAATTGCATGAGAAGATGGATTTCAATCATGAAACTCTAGCAAAGAGGGCACAACCTATTCAGATGCCTACTTGAGAGAACGCTATGACAGCTCTCCTGGCGCCCGCTTAGCTCAGTTGGTTAGAGCTTTGTGCTTATAAGGGAGACTTGATTACCAAGCTTTACGTAAGTAAACGCAAGGGTCGGCAGTTCGAGCCTGCCAGTGGGCACTTTTTTCTTACAAATTTCCGTTGCAATACTCCGTTATTCGCCTGCTTTATTCCACATATATAAGATTGCTGAACTCTTAATAAAAATGATTCAGCCAGTAGGGAACTGAGACCTCTTTGCTTTTGACTCCCATGTTGAAGCCATTGAGGAGCAACAAATGGTGATTCGACGTTCTTTGGTGATTATTTAATCGAAATTATTCAACATCATTTTGATTTCTCCTCCCCCTCTCAAGACGAACTCGATTTATAACCCCCTATCGTTTATATCAACAAAGCTCAAATCCGATCATCTCTCAGCATCTATAATCAAAACTCAAAACTCCTGCAGCCGTTTCGTCCAATACCTCGTATGAGCTAGCAGGTCTCAGTATCACTCCATCGAGCTGGCACGTAATAAAGAACCATATCGAATAACTACGATACACCGTAGTGGATTCAGACTTGGGGGGGTAGAAACCCCACCTACCCCATCGAGCGGACGTGTCTGTTCTTGAACCGTGTTTAGTGACCCTCGTGGTTGCTTCGGAGGTGGGGTAGAGAAAAGCCTGGCTGGTCTAGTCAATTGGGGCGATGATATTGGAGTGAGGGATTAGACAAGATGAGTATAGCTGGAATGATGAACGCGTATATACACGAGCTGATGCTATCAAGTTTAGAGCACGCAAAGATCATTCGACGGTGTCCTTCATTCAGCACTTTCTATCCGGCTGGTGCGGAGCCTTTAGTTTGTCAATGGAGTGAACTGGAGTGTATAATTCGGATCGCCTAGTATTTGTTAGCCGAGAGATGTATTATGGTTCTTGGAGCATCTTCAAATATCTATTGGTGGAAGCATCGTTCAGTTCAGTACTGACTAGTTTTCATACAAGATCCGCCAGCCTAATTAACACAGCACGAGCTCACGCGCACACGTTCCATCGAATTCCATCTCTACCCCATTCACTGCAGCTGGCAGTGCCGAACAACGTCGCATCCAAAAATCCACGCGTCCTACTCATGTTGGAGCATTTGAGCAACGAGCATCCAATGATGAGAGTCTATTCGGGGCGGATGACCTGCGATGGTCGATAGCCATCATTGACAGAACGCGAGGCAGCAGCAAGGTTCAGAAACCAATCGGACTCGAACATGCATACGAGGTGCGGATCCCTTATCGGACGGTATTTAAAGACTTTGTTTTTTTTATTTTTTATTTCTTAATTTTCTTTAGCTCACTCGACTTTGCAGAATCACTGCACATACTGTGTATCGTAACCTTTCTGGCCAGCGACACAGATTGAAGGAAGAGGGAGCGAATATTTTGAACAAACACTGGGTGTAACTCGATGTTTCCTGTATCGGATTTTAACTTTGTTTATTGTGGAATGGCGACGTTTGCTGCGACTATGGGGTATGTTTATGCAAAGAGAAGGAGGATAGATTCGCGGGAGTTGGTATCTTGTTTTGCTTTTTTTAGAGCTTGTTGTCTCTGGATATGAGACTTACCTTTTTCCCTTCGTGTAGATCTATCCACCCTGGAGAGTTTGTCCAGGATATGTCAAGCACTAGCACGGAATTGCCTACTTTGGTAGCAGAATCTTCAGGCGATTCCGTTGGAGGAGACCTAGACACAGATACGTCGATGGAAGATCCTTTTAAGAGCCAAGCACCGTCGTTGTCGTCGTCGTCGAGTTCTCTTCAACAACATGAGGTACAGAACACCTCCGATGTGGCCATGTCGAACCCAGCTGCTATTTCCATTCCCTCACCGTCAGAGACGGTAGAGACTAATCCAGTAGTAGGAACTTCTACTGTAGCCAGGGGATCGTCATTAAAACGCAAACGCATGCACGATCATGATGAGAACAATGTTGTGCGTTCAGATACCCTCCGTGATGCTTTGTTGATGCTGAATGTTCGATGTAAACAGCCTCTAGAGTACCCATATGTACGTCGATTCGTAGAGTGTTGATGATGGGTACTTGTGTTTACCTTTGTCACTACGAGTAGAACCTTGCGGCGTTGTACCCCAACAAACGTTGCAAGACGCCGCCGCAGGAGAACGAGGAGGAGGAGAAGAGGAAGGAAGGGTCTGGTACGGTCGAGGAAAAGGTAGGCTACTTGTTCATCGATGAAGTAGGGCGGAATTGACCGATGATCATTATTTAGTCCGATGTTGGCGTGGATTCTTCTCCGAAAATAGCTGAAGAGACTCAAACTCTTCCAAAGGTTGAGGAAGTAATAACTGAACCTGCAGAGATACCACAGAAATCCGTTGATGCGGAACCACAGCCGACACAAACCAGCAACGAATCTACCTCGCTGACGGCTGATACACACAAGATCGACCACAAACCGGAAGATAAGGAAAATAAAACCAAAGAGGTGAGCAGGTCGAGTAACGGAGTGATAGCTGATCTCAAATCGCCAACTAGCCTCTTCCACCAACTCCAACTCCAAAACTCAAGCCAAGCTCAGGTTTCGAAAGTTTTGCAAGCAACACACCGGTATCATTTTCGTTTGGGAATGGAACCTTGGCTTCAGGAGCAAACGTGAGACCAGTTTGGTCCACCTCTACCAACTTCCGAAAGCGACATTCCTTCGTCGACAAACTGGACGGCGATCCCACTGAAAAGTCTCTGGATGAAGGAGAATCCTCTGCATTCGCGTTGGAATCTCGTCGGGATACGGCAACGCATAGCACTAGCACTCGTCAGTAAAACAATTTTTTTTTCACGCAAGCCGGACCAGCGAGTTGAGCGCTCATAGTATGTATCCGGTAGATGTGACAGGAGAGGAGGACGAAGACGTTCGACATGAGCTGAAGGGCGTCAAGCTGTTTGTCAAGCGAGGAAGCCAGGATTTCTCGAGTGGGGTTTTGGGTCAGGTAAAGTATTTGGCGGATAGGAAGACGGAGAATGAGCGTGTTTGTGAGTATGGGATTGTGTTTGAAATGTTTTCGGTGTTTTGTTAACCGTGCGTCCCCCTGGTTTGAAAGTATTCCGTCGAGAGCCTTTATGGAAGATCTCGATGAACACTCGGCTGCAGCCGACTGTTCGATGTACATTTGATCCTCAGGAATGCGTTCTTAGACTTTTGCTGGCAGAGTCATCGGAGATTAAAGCACAGGAGGTCGTGGTGTACGCTTTGAAGGTATGAAAGAGTGTTTTGCTTGGCACCTGAGGACTGAATTGCGTCTGCAGCCTGGTAGATTTTGTTCGAGAAAAGATTTTCAGGCTTTTGCCGAGTCTGTGATGAGTAGTGCTAGTTTGAAAAAGACGGAGACGTCAGAAACCGTAGTGGATGCAACCAGGCAGGACCTGTAGATGATTTTTATTAGTTCGAGATGGACACTACGTATGATAGTACCGCTAGGTACGACATTCACGGGGATTGACTCTTATGCCTGCGCGCCCAGCTCCTTCGTACTTAGCCTTACCTGCTCGCGGTAATGAAACGAAGAGAACGGCGCTTAACTGCCATAACTTTGCTAGCTTCCACCACGATGACCTCGATAACAAAACGTCTACCAACAGAAACCCTTCACTTGATTGTATCATCGCTCGATGCCCCTTCTGATATTTTATCATTGGCCCTTTCCTGCAAAGCTCTCGCGGAAATTGCCATTCCTCGCCATCTGAATTATCGTGTTTTCCATATCAAAATTTCTCGTTCTGTGGATATTTTCAAATTCTTTACTCAAGCAGAGTTGACTGCTGCCGAAGTAAGAGAGCTTAATATAATACCAGAAAATATCTGGGACGTGTGCCGAGGTAATTTTATGCCTGATCGTTGGATGGCCAATCCTCTCGTGCCTCCGAAAGAGTTTGCAGTAGGACGACAAATACAAGTTCCTGCAGAAAGAACTTCGACTGAACAGACAAGGGAGTATGAAGGCCTGCTCATCGAGGCCCTGAAACGCATGAAGACGTTGAAGCGTTTTGGATGGTATCGGTTTCCCCAACCGCTAGTCAGGGATGGAGATGATTTATGGAGTATATTGGGCAGTCTAGGGAGCTTGGAACTGCTAGGCGTTGTTGATTTTCCGACATCAATGCTTACGGCGGTTGATTATCAGGCAGTAAAAGAGCTGAGTGCCACCGAGACGGTGTGTCGTCGTTGCATTTTGACGCGATCCCCGACTGATTTTTGGCCAACCTAGTTCCTTAATCTCAGAGGTCTCAAAATCCTCAGAATCCACACCACTTGTTTCGATAGAGAAAAGAACGCTGTTGATCCGACGAGTCTATTTGGCATGCCGATTGAAAATAGTGACCTAGAGGTAGCAACTGAACATTTCTTTCCCTTTGAATTTTAACAATTTTCGTTAGGAAATACATTTGCATCTTCAGGAATTTAATAATGAGATAGTTTCACTTATACCTCTCATCTCCGTCGCTCACTGGAATCACCTTCGCGTCCTCGACATTACTGGATATGTCCATTGTACCCCTTTTCCCTTTCTTGCGTTCCTTCAATCGTATCCAGCCATCGAAGAACTAGTATTAGCCCCACTGATCATTGGCAAACGCTGGTTCCAGAAGCCAAAATATCGTCCATCAGAGCCTCTCTTACCAAAGCTCAGACGCTTACAATGTACAAGTTATCAAGCAGTCTGGCTTGTAGAACAGGGTGCCCGGGCATCGATAACTGAGATCGCTGGGTTTGATTTGTTCAAGGACGTTGTGATGCGTTTCGTGTTCTTCAATGATCCAGACGAGGTAGATGAAGCCGACGAAGGTGACGTTGTGCTTGACGTTTCGGGCCAATCAGTACCATCACCTTTCCTAGGACCATTTCTGAGTATCCTAAAATCGAACCGGTTACCTTGCTTGACAAAGCTCGGTGGGGTCGAATGCACTGCGGCTACGTTCTCAGCTCTCGCCCGAGCCTTTCCACGCGTCCGCGAGCTGAGTTTGGAGCCGTGGGTTTGGCATTCTGCAGATAGAGACATAGTGAGAGCCTTCCGGCCTGCTTTTCTGCTAATGTTTTCCACTTACTATCGCTGACAGGATGGA